TTCTGCGTGGGAGGCATCGACCGTGGCCCACAGCCAAGGGAACTGGAGTCGGGAGATAAAATCAGGTTTGCTTTGGGCTGGAGCAAACAGCCTTTTGCAGGAGGAGTAAGGGACAGGGAGAGCAGCTGGAAGGGGGGACACCTCCCTGCCTCGGAGGGCTTGGTGGGGAGCAGAGGCAATGGGGACACCCCAGCAAAGCCCGGTGCTGGTCTCACCAGTCCCAGGTCAGCTCCCTTCACGCCTACTTGACTTAGAATAACTCCATAGGCACTTGAAGTCACTAATCAGCCGGGACCACTTGAGACCAGCCTGGGGCTGCCTCCCGTCTCCCGTGATAACAGGCCGCCAGCACTGGGCTTGCTCTGGTGTCCTGCTCCCACGTCCTCGGGTGAAGGTCCCGGCCTGCCAGGGTCCCGCAGGGCACAAAGCAGGGGACCCCAGAGCAGAGCTTGCTGCCAGGTGCTGAGCCCTGCATGGTGTGTGTGTGGGGGGGGAACCATCTTGCTGGTTGTTTTACTTGTTTCAAAAGCTTTGTGCTGTCCCCAAGCCCCTGCCCAAGTCTGAGGGGTCAGACAGAGGGAAACGAAGGGATGAGGACCTTTGGGAGAGGGACAAGAGGGTCCCACTTGAACTTTCTATATGGGAGAGGAGCAGCTGTCTCCAGGCCTGGGATATGTCCCCATCCCTCTGGATCTCCCCATGTCCCCCCTGTGCAGCCCTGCTGGCCCCAGCATGGCTCATGACTCAGGCAGTGACACACAGCTGGCGTGATGGGCCATCTCCCATTTATTTACGGTCCCCGGGACACCGGGCTCAGCCTTCTCACAGCCCAGGCTGTCCTGGGGTTGAGTCAGGGGATGCCCTCCCCTGGGACACCCGGCTCCACGGGCTGTGGGAGAGCAAGGAGGGATTAACAGATGCAGTCCTGGGAAAAGTTTCCAGCTCCTGGGTGACACTGCACAAGTCACGTAAAGAAGCTGTCGCTTCGTTCAGGCAGCCAGGACCCTCCATGTTGAGGGCAGGACTCCATGAGCAGTGGGTTGAGGGGCAGAGCAGCGGGGGGGGTCCCACAGTGCCTGTCTCTGCACCCTCAGGTCCCAGCCGTGAGGTGGTGTCGGACCTGATGACGCGGCTGTGGGATGAGTGGAGTCGCAGCATCCCTGGGGCAGAGGGACACACAGGATGGGACCTGCCACCCCCAGTTCCCCATCCCCATGGATAAACGCAGCATTTGCTCTCCTGCCTCTGCCCCGCTTGTCACCAAGCTGGGGCCAGTGCTGGCCCCGCACTAGGGGACTTCCCAGGAGCTGGCGATGCCCCCGGCTCCCCGCGGCATCCTCCGGCCGCGGATGTGTCATGGCCCAGCCGCTTCCCTTCGGAAGTCCCCGCCGAGAGGCTCTGGGGGGGGGGTCTGACTCACCCGACAATCCCCCCCCCCGACACCCCCTTTCCTGCACGGCCTCCCCCACAGCCCTGGCAGGCCGCCCCGGCGGAGCCCCCGGCCGGCCCCCGCCGCCACCGGCCCCGGTCCGAGGGCAGGGAGCACAGCCTAGCGGCGGCAGCTGGAAGGAACCGGGCTGCCGGAGTCCCCCGCCAGCCCCCGCCCCGGCCGGGCTGAGGGGACCGGCCCGGGGAGCCGCTGCGGTCAGCGCTGCCGTGGTAAAGCCTGCCCTTCCACAAGGCCAAGTGGGGGGTCCTGCACCAGCGTCGGGGCAAGCCCAGTACCAGTACAGGCTGGGGGAAGGAGGGAGGGATGGGGGGATGGATGGAGAGCAGCCCTGCGGAGAAGGAGTTGAGGATACTGGTGGATGAAAAAATAGTATATGATTGGCAATGCGGGCTTGCAGCCCACAAAGCCGAGCGTATCTGGGACTGCAAAACGAAGCGTGGCCAGCAGGTCGAGGGAGGTGGTGCTCCTCCTCCACTCCGCTCTCCTGAGACCCCACCTGGAGTACGGCGTTCAGCTCTGGGGTCCTCAGTACAAGGGAGGCATGGACCTGTTGGAGTGGGTCCAGAGGGGGGGCCACAAAAATGATCAGAGGGCTGGAACACCTCTCCCATGAAGAAAGGCTGAGGGAGTTGGGGCTGTTCAACCTGGAGAAGGCTCAGGGAGACCTTCTTGCAGCCTTCCAATATATAAAGGGGCTTATAAGAAAGATGAAGAGAGAGGTTTACCAGGGCCTGTACTTTTTACTGTGTTTGCAGGGGGCAATGGTTTTAAACTGAAAGAGGTGTCGGGGTCCCACTCCCCAGCAAGGGGAAAGGCAGCCACAGCAGACGGAGAGGCCAAGGCATCCCCTGCCACGGGGATCGAAAGCCGCAGGGTGGCCGGGTGCCAGGCTGGAAAGCCCAGAGCAGAGCTGGGGGCCTGGGCTCTTCCACTGCCCCCGGCTCCGGGCCCGGCTGGGACAGGGCGAACTGCAGAGCTGGCTGTGAACAGCCATGAGATGGCGGCAGGCGCTCACGCTTGGCTGTCTCAGCCTTGGGTGCCTCACGGGTGTCTGCAGGCCCGGGGTGCCTGGATCCTGCACTGCCAGCCCCGACCCTGCTGGCAGAGAGCACATCAGGCACCAGCCTGGGACATCTCTTGCCCCCAGTGAGGCAGGACCGAGGGGACAACAGCCACTCACGGGGCTCTGAGATGTCTGCCCGATGTGGGGACAAAATCTCCCCAGCTGGGACCTTGAACCCACTATCCGATAAGGGTGGTTAATGATCAGCGCTGGGATGTCCCAGCCAGAGGCATGGTGCCATCTGCCCCAGGAGTGACGCCTGGGGGTCAGCGCCCTGCCCCACAGCCGCAGAACCTGGTGGCAGTGCCAGGCTGACCAGAGGGGACATGCCCTGCACCCATGGCCCTGGATACCAGCGCAGCAGAGCCCTGCTTGTGAGCTGGACACACTGGCCTGCACCAGGTTGGGCAGGAGCTGGTGCCGTGCCCGCCCTGGCATGCAGACAAATGAAACCTGTTGGGTTGCCAGCGGCCACACTGGGCATGCTGGTGTCTCCCCATCGGGGCTCCTGGCTGGCAGCGCCCGGAGGAAGCACTGAGGGAGGCCCTGGGACAGCTTGGACCCAGCTCCCTGGGGCATCATCCTGCACTGCAAGGGGACAAGGCAGGGACAGGGGTATGACAGGCAGGGGATGGAGGCAGGGCAGGAGGGCTCAGGCCAGGAGGTGCAGCGCCCTGAAGAGCAGGCCCAGCAGTGAGCCTGGTGCCGCAGTGGGGTGTGCGGAGTCTGGGGTGCAGTACCCAGTGCCAGAGTGCGATGCTGGTACTGGAACATGATGCTCAGTGCTTGGTGAGAGCGCCCAGCGCCCACTGCCTATGTGCAATGCCTGGTGCGCAGCACCTGGTGCTGGTACCGGTGCTGGTGCCACACGCTACGTTGTGCCCAGGCTGTTCTACCTACCGTTGCCATGCCAGTGCTGGCTGCTAGCTGCCTGGTGCCCGGTGCCACCGTGCAGCGCACAGCGTGCGGCACCCAGTAACTGGTACATGGCAGCGGGTACCGCCGATGCCAGTTCCAAGTACCTAGCACCCGGTGTATGGTGTGTGATTCTCTGAGCAGTGCCCGGTGTTCAGCACTTGGTGTATGGCACGTGGTACCCGGTGTACCGTAACCGGTACCCGGTACGCTGCAGCCGGCACCCACGACCCAGTAGCAGGCGCGCAGCAGCTGGCACAAGGTGCCCGGTCCGCAC